TCCAGGCGAGCGCCGTTCCCTTCAGCAGGCTGGGCCTGCCGCCGTGGCAGCGCGCTGCAGCCACAGCCCCCAGGAAGGAGAGGTGAAGCCAGCCTTCGGCTGGGTATGCTGAAGGGCACACCGGCCCCTCTGCAGGTCAAGCCGATGTGATGACATCTTAAGGGATGTTTGTGTTCTGTTGGAGAGAAAACTGAGGTTTGCTTCTTGTTAATTAAAAAGCAAGAAAATTTTAGAGGCTGTTTGACACAGTCACAGCCAGACTCCATTTCATCTCCCCAAATCCCTCTTCTCATTTCAGCTGGATGCAGAAATGACTTATTTCCTCTTTCGCTTCTAGTCCTATTCAATAGGCCAGTTGGGAGCTTTTAAATAGCTGTCCTGTCCCGTAAGAGAGGTGGCTTGCCTTGTGGCAAAGGGATAAAGTGGTTCTTGGTCGGCTAATGTAGAAAATACTTTGGGGTTCTCTTAGAATTGTTAAGAAATGTGAAAATGCTCTTACTCACAGCACTTTGGGAGAGAGACGGCAGATGTTCTTTCCTCAGATTTTTTTTTTTTCTGCTGTTGAGCAAAACTCCCCCATCTGCCTTGTCCGGGGCTGTTGCATCGAATCCTCTGCTGAGCTGAATGGAGCAAGGCTTGCCACTTTGACTTGGAACCGTTTTCTGAGGGGCCAGTGGGGTCAGCAACTAGCAAACTTATTTAATCTGTGTATCCTCCTGGCTGTCTCTTTTCGCCTTGGAAAGGTAACACTGCAGTATTATTCCCTGTTGCTGAAATCGCCCCATTCTGCTCCTTGCAGAGGTGAAGCATCTTTCGCAAGGTCAGCGTTACCTCCACGTGTCGCCTCTGTGGGTGCTAGCAGCTGGAGAGCTCGCAGCCGGCACGGGAGCTCCCGTGCTGGTTTCGGTGCTCTCTCTCCGCCTTTGTTCCCTCTCCCCCCTCCACCTACCTCTCCCACTTTCTCTCCTTTCTCGCCCCTCCTCTGTCTGATCCAGGGAGGGTTTTCTCTCCCGTGCTCACAGCCCTGCCGTTTCCCCGAAGGCTGGCTGCCCTCTTTAGCATGCAGAGCCTCATCTCCTCCAGGTTACGCAGAGGTGCTGCAAAAATAGAAATGAGAGACAAACGCCCCATTGAAGCAGCTGGCGAGCCCTGGCTCCGTTCCCTGCTCCCTCCCATCTACAGTCACAGGGCTTTATTCGTTTGTGTTTCTTTATTCCTATCGCTTGATCTGCCTTTTAGAATACAAAATTGGGAGGCTGATGGCCGATAGAAGTCGTCTAATCCCTGTTCCCCATCCTAGGAGGAAAATGGCTAGCCACTGGTGTCTTGGGCGTTAGATTTCCTCTCTCAGCTGTGCTCCCCTGCCTCCCAGCTCAGCTCGTGCTTTGATTCTTTCTTTGCCTTGGAGTTGACAGCTGCATTGAGCTCCTTTATGAGATGCCTGGAAGAGAGGGGGAAGGTGGCAAATCTTGGGTCTGCTGTTTGGTACCCCAAGCCTTTGGGTTTTTGCTGCTGGTGCAAAAGGTGTGAAGTGGTGTCAGGATGCTGTCTGGAGAGGTACCCGTTTGTACGCAATGGTGCCATGAGCCCTGTGGCGTTCAGGCTGGTGCTGGCACGGAGGGTTCCCCCAGGCCAGCCTCTGCATCCTGTGCCATTGGATCAGGCCCCAAGACGTTGCCCTACTCCAAATCCACCCCAGGAGAAACCTGGCTTGCTCAGGCTGTGTCTATTAATGACTCATTCTTAGGGATGAGGTGGTGTAGTTTTATCTTGGGCTAAGGAGAGCAAAGCTTCCCAGTGAACAAGATAATGCAGCTTAGGGGGTTTTAACTGGGTAAACACTTCAGAGTTAAATGAGGGTAAACAAACTCCTGGGATCTGAGTTTCCCGCATGGATGGGATTAGCTCTGTGGGTGCGTGGGTTCACCTGCCACGAGCTCTCTGTTGTAGAGGTGGTGGGGCTGGCTGCAGCTGAGCTCTGGAGGCAGCTCAGATGATGGAAACAGGCTTAAGCCAGTCTTTGGAGCTGGCGCAGTTACATTTTGAGGCTTCACCTAGCTGGCTGGGAGACCCAGGACGTGTATTGTAGCCTGGCTGGAAAGCCAGGGCGCCCCATCAGCCACGTCTCTGCTAATGGGAGTCAGGGAAACTGAGGCATTGGGGTGGATAAAGAGCTGATGTAGGATCCAGGCAGCCAGTTGCAGTCCCAGCTACACCAAATTTTCCATGTGGCCTTGGACCTGCCGTGGTCACATCCCATCCTTCTGCTCCCCTTTTCTGGATAACTTTGAGAATAATGTTCCCTTTCTCCCCCTTGCTGCTCTCTGTCATGTTTGCTTAAGCTGTAAGCTCCTCAAGACAAGTGCTCGCTCCGCTGGGCTGCACGGGGCTCAGCAGTGCTCGCTGTTAGTGATGCAGGTGTCCTGTGCCAGCCCAGGGAAGCCCAGTCCAGGCACCATCACGTTGGAGCCTGGTGAGCACCTCTGAATCGGCACGGGGGCTGACCTGGCCAGGTCTCTCCGGATCCATGCTTCCACACACGAGATGTGCAAACTCTCATTTCCAGCCGTGGAATTCACTGTGCGTGCACAGCTCACAGGGAGCCGGCCCATCCCCAGGGATGCCCAGAGGCGCTTTGGTTGGCTCCGTGATGCTGCAGTAGCTTCCTTCCCCTTTGATACTCTGCCTCTGTTGCCGTTCCCTTTTTGTTGCTGCGCTGGCCTCGGCTGATCTTGCCTTGGATCAATAGAACAAAATAAACGAGACTGAGAAGTGCTGAAGCCTGGCCCAAGCGTATATGGGAAAGAGGAACCAATATTGGATTTTGCTCAGTTCAGAGAACAGTGGAGGAAGGTGGAGAGCGTCAGAGGAGGCAGAAGGCTTGAGAAATGCATTTCTGGCTTCCAGCGTTCCCAGGACAGGTTTGGTAATCAGCCTAGCAAGTGAGCAGCAGCTCCTAAACTTTTTGTGCTAACAAGCCAGTGTTTTCAGTGCAAGCACCGGGGCCAATCCATCTGCCATTGCCCCACAGCTCATCTTGGCACTTGCCCTGATTTGAATTTGTCCTTCTGGGACGTGGAGTCATAGGACATAGTGGTGGGAAGGAGCCTTGGGAGGTCGCCTAGTCTGTGCCCTTGCCTGAAGGCAGTTCAGCTCTGCTTAAATCATTTCAGGCCACATGTATCCAGATCTGCATGCAGCATCCAGGTGATGTCTCAGCAGTGCTTTGTAAAATCTCTCTATTTTTAATACTTCAGGACTGTGCAAGCATTTTCGCATCTGCATTCCAGTGATATCTCAGAGCAGTTTCTAATACAGAAGTTTCTCCTCTTAAGACATTTCTAATGGATGGTTTCCTATCTTGTATCAGAAATGTCTGGTGCTAGTTCTCCAGGTGGTGACTTATCACTTTGTACTATTTCTTTTCATAATATTTCTGTTATTTCCATTCTCAAGATCACCTAGCTGTACCTACAGTCTTTCTGTGCAGTGAGGATGTCTCCTTGCTTTGTGTCCTTGGCTAATTTGATTATCGTGTTCCTAATTTTTGTTCCAAGGTCACTTAGGAAAATATTAAAGAACAGCAGACCCAAGGACAGACCTTGAGGAATTCCACTAATAGCCTCCCTCCAGCACAAACCTCTGTCATTTTTCGTATAGCCAGTGCCTTACAGTTGCCTTACAGTTTTCCTGCTAATGGGTGTCGTCTTGTAATTCTACATGAGGCACTGTATCAGATATTTTACTGAAGTCCAGATGGATTAGATCTGCTGCATTTCTCTCGTCTAGAAAATCGGTTATCAAAGAAAAATACCAAATTAGTCTTCATTTTCAGCTTATTCAATTAGTTCAGTTCAGTGACTAGTTCATTAAGAATTGAGAAACTGAGTAGGAGCTGAGAGAGCGGGAAAACTTGTCCTTTTGTCTTCTGATCTATGAATAAAAATCAGCTGTGAGAGGATGAGATCTAGTTTTAACGTGCTGAAGAACAGAGGGCTAGGAAGCAATTGGTTCAGTTCACCCAAATTAGTTACTTTGCTTGCTTAACAAAACTGTTTTAAATGTAAAACATGTTTTGGTAATCTCATTTTTTCCTTATGTCTCCATATTTATCATGGTATTTATCGGTTGAATGAAGCCAAGTTCCAGGTGTTGTTTTCTTGCATTTTGATTGAAGTTCAATATGCATGTGAATGTACCTTGACACAAATCACAATTAAAGTCTCATCTAGGAATCAAGAAGTGTCAGTCAAACCTTCTAATAGATAAGATGGAAATAACAAGGATATAATTGTTGAAAGAGAAGTGTAAAATGCAACCTGCCTCCCTCCTTAGCATTAGGTAGCTGTTTGCTGTTGGTACATTTTAATTCTTACCTGTGCCAGTCAGCCCTTCCTTATGAAAACAGAAAATGTGAATGCAAAATGAAGTTCAAATCAATGACTTAAAAATAGATTTCCAGCCTACTGATTTAAAACATGATGAATATTGGTGATGTAAATAGTTTTGGTTTAAATCAGTCCCCCTGCATATAATATAGCTGCAGATCAGGAGCACTAGGGTGAAATCTTGCCTGGGTGACAGCTGGATAGGAAACTGTAATTGATTTCACAGGGCCAGAATTTCATGGCTTAAGTATGAGACACTTCACCTCTTCTCCAGGATGCGTGATGAACAAGGCACCCCGTCCTTTCAAAGAGGCAAAAAAAACCTCAGAGAGGGTGAACCATCCCTGCCCCGTTGAAGAGAGGTGCCCCAGGCTGGGTGGCTGCTTGGCACCAACTCCTCCTGGATGTGAATGCTCCCCTGCGTGGTTGTGGATGTTTCCCAAAATACCCTGGTTTTTCTCATCAGCTGAGAGCGCAGCCCATCTTCGGGGCAGGTTGCCCCAAAGGCGGGTGTGTGCAGCGGGTTGGTTTGGTAGGAGCAGGCTGCAAGGAGAAGACAAGCCCTGTGGGTGTCAGTCCTATCTCTGATATGGGTTTACTGTCATTATACAGGGACGTTGTGCCTCTGCCTTGCCTCCTCCTCGGAGCCAACCACTGATGGCCTCACGTCAACTTCCCTGCTGGAGTTTGCCATGATGTCCCACCTGGAGGCCATGAATTCCCACGAGCAAACCAGCCCGGAGACTGCGGAGCCTGATCTTGCACCTGGCTCTCTGCATGCTGCCCCAGGATCGGGCTTTGCCAGCGAGGAGAATGAGGAGTCCAAGATCTTGCAGCCCCCGCAGTACTTCTGGGAAGATGGGGGAGAGCTCAACGACTCCAGCCTGGACTTGGGACCGGCAACAGGTAGGTCAATTTTACCCCATTTGTCCTCTCTGCTCTGCAGGGACTCTGGGGAGGTGGAAGGACGCAGGGATCTGCCTTCCTGCTTTGACACAACTCTCGGCAAGAGGGCCTGAGATTAAATGTCAGCTCTATTTTCTCACCTCAGTGCCTGATGTGTCCCCAGTGAACCCTGAGCAAGCACAGGCTTTAGAAACGAAGTTACGGCTGAGCCTTTATTCCTGAGCTGCTATGAGCTGGGAAAAGTGTTGCTTCCACCTAGTTTCCCGTTGCCTTGTGCCGTTCTTTCTCTCTCTCCTTCCCCCTTTTATGCTCTCTTCTTTCTCCCTTCTTTCTGTTGCTGTCAGTTAAGTACAGCCTAAAGGTCTCAAGACCCTGGCTCAGAGATCAAGGCCATCTTGAGGTTTGAGTCAAAGCTGGGTTCCCTGGGCCAAATTCTGGATTCCTCACTTTGTGACTTCAGTGAGGATTTGACCTGAGAGAAGACAGCAGGTTTTCTCCATTGGGCTGCTGTCCTGTTGCCTGCCCTGGCCTGCCTCCTTTCTGGGGAGTCACGGCCAAAATGAGTTTCGTTAGCATCTGAGCTTGCTTTCCTCTGTGGAGTGGTTTTTGAGACCACTGGGTCCCCTCAGTGGTCTTCCCCTGAGCCCCTCGTTGGCTTTGAGACACCCTCAGGGAGAGGGATGGGAGGAAGGAGAAGGAGCGTTGCAGGGTTTCTAGTAGCTTAGGAGATTATTTCACATGCTCCTGCTCTTAAGTGTCATGTGGGGCATGTATTAAGCGTTACGCAGGGGCCAGGCTTCAGTCTTATCCCTCCTCCCTTATCCGCTATTGCTGCCTCCCTCTCAGCAGGTCTGACTGAGGTCTGCAATTAGAAAGCACAAGTCTTGTTTTATCTTCACTCCTATTTCTGTGACCTTAAAAAAGACCTGTGCTCACACAGGGCTGAGGGCTGCCGCAGTGCTATGGCTCAGGCTGCCCGCTGGGGCACAGTGCACGCTACGCGGGGCAAGGGCCATCCCAGCTTAGGTCTCCAAAGCCCTTTGCTTGCTAACATTGCTGCTAAACTCATCTGGCTCTGCTCTTGCTACCCTGCGGCTCGTGTGGCCCCCGGGGCACTTGCAGGCCTGGCCATGGGGAAGCTGTGCAGATGCCGCCTCCGCAGCGATGCTCGGGGCGGGTGGTGCGCGTTCCCACCGGCGCATCCTTGGGACATGCTCTGGCTTAGCTGCTCTCGTGCTGGCAGCGTGCTCAGCGGCGCTTTTATTTGTGTGCCAGCAGGCACCTGCATGTACTCATAGATCTGGACGTGACTTGGAGAACAGCATGTGCTTGTGCATTGAGAGCGAGATGCACTGGGTACCGAACCCAGCCTCGCCTCTTGCACGTGCCTCGCCCCATTTGTATGCAGAACACGCTCCTCTCTCCTTCCGTTCTTGCCTGCAGTGCTTTCCTCCATGAGCAGATGTGCTCTTTCAGCTGTCCTTTACGCGTACCCTACCCTATCCGCTGCCCAGCTAACCACTTCTGTGCTTCCAAGCACTGTTTTTCCCGTGGCCGTTGCTGCATCCAGAGCTCGTGTCTCGGTGGCATTTCAGAACCTTGGTTAATAGAACAGTTTGAATTATTCAAGAGCTGGGAGCACATTTCTACTTAAAATTTAATTAGAAACCTGCTGTGTGTCATTTTACAATAAAGGATATTGTAATAGCATCCTTAAATTGGGCAGCCTTCTCCTGCACAGGCTTTGCATGACAGGAGAGATGCACACAACCAATGGGTCTTACGTGCTGCATGTGTGACAGATGCCATGTGATACCTTGTGGAACTGTGTGATGACATCTGTTAGGTAATTTTCAACGTATAAATCCAGTAAGCAGTTTCAAACAGCTGCTGTTTAAGAAAAAAAAAAGTTTGCGGTATAAGTTTTCCTTATGTGGGATTTTTCTCTGAACGACAGTGAAGTGTAGCCCAGCAAAGTTGGTAGCTCTGTCCCAGGCACAGATTTGAGACCCTGTATCAATCAAGGCACAAACCAGGATTGTTATACTACTGGAGAGAGAAAATTCCCTGCTGTGAATGGAGACCTGTGCTGTTTTTTTTCTGAGTTTGATGTGAAGATACTGGGCCTGGCACTGGTGGTCTTGTTGCAGACAGGCCAGATCTGCGATTTCAAAGCTGTATTAGTCATCTCTCCTTTTTTTTTTTTTTTTTTTTTTTTTGTTCCTTTTGAATCTGGGTGGGGGGGCTCCTCTGCCTTTT